CCCCAAAACCCCAAAACCCCAAAACCCCAAGAATCAAACTTTAAAAAATAATGGTTAAGAGAGTATAATAATTTATTAAATATGGGAGCATCTACTAATTGTTCATATTGTTGTGCATATAGCTCACTTATCGGATTCTTTTTCTATGGTATTTTAGGAATAATGGCTTGGAACAGAAACGAAGTTTTTCTTGAACACAAAGCCAATGGAGTAAGTGAGGAGGCAGCTACTAAGACTTAAGAGCTAATGTTTGAGCTTACTTTGGTAAAAAAAGTTTGATCATTAATTTTATCAGAGTTTCCTCGGATTATTCATAGTAACTTTTATTTTGGCAAAAGTACTTGAAAGAAGAGAATCAAAGCAGGCAGACTTGGAAGGAGACTATTACAAGATCCATGGAGATGGAGATATCTTTGAGAATACTGGTAAGATATTTAAAACAATGAATCAATTAATCATAATGATGGTTTTATGTGTCTTATCAAATTTTAATCAATCAATTATAGAGAAATTACAATGAGTTAAAATATTAATGAAAATGAATTTATTAATCAACTGTTAAATATTCATAACTTAATTAAATAACTCTTATATATATATATATTAATTTAACTAAAAAAATTAAGAGAATGGGATCTCAAGCATCATGTTGCAATTGCAAGTAGGAAGAATAGAATTAAGCAGGATCACTTAATTTTGAAAAAGGCGGAAATAATTCTATAAATAACTTAAATAATGCTCCAGTTTAAAACTCTAAATTGCCCTAAAAGAGATAATCAACAAAGCCCTTCGCTTATAATAAGGTAGAAACTGGGGATGATATTGTGAGCAAGCATATCAAATGTAAAATCTATTTATAATTTACATTTCTATATAGTGCTTGCAACGACTGAAGAGAAATCGTAAAGAAATGGAAAAGTGCAAGTTGAATAGTTTACTTGTAACGAACCAGTATAGGAAAGATTTGAGCTTAGTCGAAGGGGTACAAAAACTAAAATGGATCAACAATAGCAGCATTAATAAGAGTTCTCATATATTCAAAGTAGGAATCAAAATCCTTAACTATCAGAGGAATAATAACCACAGATACTGCAGAAGAATAATACTTTTCAAAAAAACGAAAAGTCTTTAGAAGAAATTCCTCAAAATTAGCACATAGGTGGGATGATAAATTTTCAATCTAATGTTGTCTTTGCTAAGGCTAATACAGAAATGCTTCATAAAGCTTTTATGGCTGTATCTAATAATATGAACCCTAGAATCTTAGATCCCAATTGGCTTTAAACATTTGAGATATAAAAACTTTAGAAAAAGGAGATTTTTTCAGAGGTATATGAAATTAAAATGCTAACTGGAAATAAGGATAAAAGATTATTGAGAAAAATAAAAAAAGTTGTTTTCAATAAAAATTAATCTGGTATTGAGGATTTTAGATTTTCACTGGAAGAGTTACTCTTATTAGATCATCCAAACATTGCTTAACTTTTTGACTACAAAGAAGACTTGTTCAATTTTTACCTAATGATTGAATTTTGTGAAGGTGGTAAATTATTTGACAAAATAGAGTAACTGGAGTAGATCAGTGAGAATCTAGCAGCTGAGATTTGCAGATAAATTTTGTCAACAATTGTGTATCTTCATTCAAAATCATAAGTTTATCGCAACTTAAGTCCAGAAGTACTCTATTTAGAAGTGGAAGAAGAGTTAAAGGGAGAGTCTTTCAATTTGAAAGTGATAGATATGGATCTGTAATAAGCTCACGCACTCTCAAATACTTAAACATATTCAGTGCCACTTTATTTTTTGTCTCCTGAATCGTTAAATTAAAAAGTTATAAATGAGAAGTTGGATGTATGGGCCTGTGGTGTAATATTACTTATCTTATTGACTGGCATTCCACCATAGCAATCCTTTGGGATGAATCCTACAATTATTATAAAAAATCTATATTAAGGAGAGATTGATTATTAGCATCCAAGTTACTCAGATTTGCAGACAAATGCCTTAGAATTTATGTAAAAGCTTCTAAACCCTGATCATGAAAAAAGGATTAAAGCAGTAACTGCTCTAAATGATAAATGGCTACTAAATCTCACAAGATCCAGGAGATCCATCTCAAAAAAGTACCTTAAGCCAGATATGGCAAACGATGTAAAAAGATTTATTGTAAGTCATCCAATTTAATTAATATTTTTAGGCTGAAATATAATTTTACCAAAAGGTTAGCTTGCTTGTTCAAGCAATAAACATGCTTAATGATGAAGAAAGATTGTTGAATACTGTTTTTAATGAAAGGGACATCAAGAATTAGAGTTATCTGAAGTTTGAAATAGTGAAGAGTATGTATTTGGATTACTTAGGAGAAATTAAAAATAATGTAGAAGTTGAAAAAATTTTTAGGGATTGCCCGAAGAGATCTGATAACAACGTCTCTTATTCTGAATTCACATCATTTATAAACAAACAGTGTCTGGAGACAAAAAAGCAAGAACTAAGAGATAGTTTCTAAAAATATGATTTAATCAGACTCCAAACTTCAAAAGAATTTAGAAAAGGAATCATGAATCATTCAGAGGTTAATAGAATGCTAGCTGTAGTGCTTACTTGTAATAACTAATGTGAGAGTTTTATCCATGAATATGATAGAGATTAAGACGGCAATTTGACCATAGAAGAAGTTATTGACTTGGTAGTTCATATTGCAGAAAATCAGGTGTAAATATGAGACTCGAGGGAGATAGTCGAAGGAAACTAATTCCAATCATTCCAGTGATGATTGATGGGGCAAATACTTGGACTGTACTTTCAACAAAAGTAGAATATTGTATTTAAGAATCTGTTTTGACAGCTCACAAACAACTTTAAAATATAAAATTGATTTAGATTTATTAAGTTTATAACATTTAATTACTTTAAAAATTTAAGAATTAAACCTTTCTGCCAATTCAAATGTATGGGGATGAAGAAGAAAGTATTTATTATTATTGCTATTGTTACTGTTGCAATGAATCGATTTATTTTGGTTGATATTGTTGTTGTTGATGAAGCATACTTCTATGACTATGTTAAGGTAAAAATTGATTTGATTAGATGAATTGCACTGGGGGCTATACTTAAACATTCCCAATATGAGGATGTCTGAGATTACTAAAATATTTTTCTCCTAATTAGTATTTTTGCCAAGAAAGATGATATGTACCGACTAAGTATTCTGCCATAGCCATATTTAGCAAAAAAAGTCGTAACATACTTAAACCTGGAGAAAATCTGGCTGAGGGGAATATCAAAGTTTTTTTTGCTTAGCTGAATGCACTTGTCTGATAAACTCCAATTCCTATATAGATTAATAAGTCAAAAATTCCCAATCTTATTGCGTTTTTATAGCTCTTATACTCTTTTATCTCCTAATCTGTGAAAATTTATGGATTCTTTTCCATTGTTGTACTAACTTATTAAATTTGTTTTAATTTTATTGCTCTTTCTACTTAAGGATTTAATTTTTATTGTTATTGTAATGTATTCTAGTTGTAAACAGATGACCTCTAAGATTAAAATCCTCCTTAACCTTATGAAAATTAATTTGGATAACCATTTTAGCCAATTTATCCTTAAGAAAGAAGTTACTAGCTTCCTTGATTCGGTTATAAGTTTTATAAAGCTAAATCTAGCGCTGATGGTTAATAGTGATTAGGATTCTAATGAGGATTTATTCATATTGATTGCTGCTATTAAGGTTGGTTTGTACCTAAATAATATGGCGAGTCCTGAGGTGATTTTATTTGATTAGACATTTTTATAAATTTATTATAAGTCATTGAATTGCGATTTTATATTTTCTCAATACTCATTATCTTTTCCTCAAGGGGTTTTGGGGTTTTGGGGAGATCGGAAGAGCA